GGGTCCTTTCCTATGAATTCAGGATTATGCACGTGGAGAGAGTGGAGGTGACTGGGAGGATTGCTGTTTCCATGAGCAGTTGATGTATTAGTGCTAGCATCCTGGATAAACACTGTAATTACTCAAACTGAAATGTAAAGACATGACGGCTAATAGACTTTCTTTCCTGCCCTTGTATTTCAGTGTTCGTGACATCTGAGGGATATGTCTTTTGAAACAGGGAAGAGTGCTTCCAGCTCTCTTAAGTTGTGGAGGAAGTTTTATTTAGCCAGTTGCTGAGCCCCAGATTTACACAGAAGTGAGTTGATGCATAATGTTGTGTATCTGAAGTTTATATTTATGTATGCCAGAATTACCAGCTTCTGATAATTCAGATATACCAGATATGCATCATACCAGATGCATAGAGTATGCCTGGAGGACTGGCACTACCTTTCATTTTGCCCAGAGCAAACACTTAAAGCATGCTGTTTGTATATATGGGTGTTAGCAATACTGTTTGTGCTGCTGCTGTTCATCTGGCACTTCTAACATGACTAAAGTGATACCCTCAAAAAGTTGCGCATTTGGAAGAATTCTTGTTTACTTGTGACTTCCTATCCCATTTCAGTCTTTTGCTTTGGGAATCAAGCCAATACTGGGAGAGAGAGCAAATGAGGAAAGCCTCAAGCCTCTCTTAGGGACCAAAAATAATTAAGAGAAACATTTAGAGAGAGTAGATATAATGAAGCCCTGAATCCGTATTAGCTTCAGGCCCATTAAGGCATGGCTGTTTTTATAATAGAATATGGAAGTAATTACTCATCTGAGCCAGGCATTGTGGGGTCGGACTAAAGTGCTCTGCAGTGTAATTGAATTTGTACAGCATCTGTGAGCAGGGGAGGTCCTGTGCAATAAAGCCCATAGGTTGTCCTTAGGCTGCCCAGCAGAAAGTTTTTCATTTGTTTGTTCCTTCTTCCAGGGCCACTTCATTTTCCCTGTAGTGAATGATGCATAATGAGATTGTTGCTTCAGGCAAGAGCTTCTCCCAGTAAGAAGGGGAAGACTGCAGAGTCCTTATTTCCCCTTTTGTGTGAAGGGATGTTCTGGAGCACAAGTAAAACACTGCTTAGTGGGTAGCCTATTTCACTGCTGTTTGTGCCCTCCTCGTATGTTTTTTTCACTCCAGCTACAAATGCAGGAACCTAGTGTAAAACAGTGATGCTACCCTTGGATTTTGAGCCCGAAAAGAGTCCTTTGTCAGCCTTTCATTGTATGATTGTGCCTTTCCTGGCCGAATTTCCCAAAAATAATTGTTCCCAGTAAGCCTTTTTAGTAGAGCAAAGAAGAGTTAACTATTTTGGTTTGGCACTGGAAGAAAGACTTAAAACCATAAATTAATCTCGCCCTATTTATGCATTTATTTGTTTACTGTTGAATTTTGAAAGTTCATTATAACTCTGGCTAGAGCTATACCTATAACTTCTCCCTGTTTTTAAAGGGTAGCAGTCCTCTGCAAATTTATTTATGTCAGTTCTCCATGAAAGTATGGTAGATGGAGTTTTTACACGAAAAACAGACTTTTAAAATTAAAACCCTTTGCAGAAAACAATTTTTTTATTATTTTTTTTTCTTATTGTTAATCAAAAGCTCAAAACAAACAAACAGCCTGCAGGTTTTCTTCAGAAAAGTTGAAAAATGTGCATTACAAGTTTTGATATAAACAAAGGTTCTAACAAGTATAGTTTAAAGGAAGAGTTTATATTTGAGAATTTGTTTATTAAGCTTTCTGGAGTTTACATTGTGTTTAAGAGCATTGCTTCAGAGTGGTTTGTGTATTTCTCTTTATTGCAAATGCTAATTAACACAGTATTTATCTGAGCAAGTACTTGCACTCATTAAAGCATCATGTAAGCTGAACTGCAAGCAGAAGATGATCATCAGAGGGGAAGTGACACTGTGTTAAATACATAGAGGGCAAAAGGTACAGCACAAAGGCACTGCTAAATTAATTACATTAGATGAAGATACTTCTAGAGTAAATATATGATGCTGTTAATATAATTGTGTCTCAAATCCCACATACTCAGCTGCTCAAAAAAGTAAAGTTCCACAAAATCTGTGCAGTCTTGCTTCTGCGTTTGTCTGCAAATTCTGCTTGATTATCTGTTGGTCCTGGTCAGGCACACCTCCAAGACAGAGCAGGCAGCTTGTCTAAACTAGTTTGTAACCTGCAATTTGAGGATTTGGGCACAGATGAGATTGCATATAAATGTTTTAATGTGCTGTGATCCAGCAGGCTGGCTTGCAAAGTTTTCTAGTACTCGTTCAAGAGAAATTAGTGTGTGTGCTGCTGATGGGTAGCAGTGGGCCCCATAAGTTGCCAGAGAAGTACTAAGAGCAGCTTGTTGTGCCAAGGAGTAGTCCTTTGTAAGCTTGCCTTTACAAGAGGATGGGCTCATTTGTTAGTTCTCTTATCTCTAACTATGATGATCCTGCTTAAAAGCAGATGACTGAGTTTCCCTTCTATAGATTCTAGTATGTGGGGGAAATCCACTGTAATTAAATCTTATAAAATCCTCTTATTCCCAATACAAATCTCTGACACAGACAATTCTCCTGAGTCTACATCATAGCCCAAGGAAAACAAAGTGCAGGAGCAGTTACTTACTTCCTCTTAAATATTTGATAATTTTGGACAAACTTCTGCCCTGATTACAGTAGCTGCAAAACTCACTAACATTAATTATTTTTGAGACAGAATTTAGATTACTGATTTTCCTTACTTTTACCATTACTTTGAATAATGACTAAACAGGCATGTATTTTAAGCTATGTAAACAGCAAGACAATAGGTGTCTGAATTGTTCTACAAAATGTAGTGTGGTATTTCCCACTTTGTACTAGAAACAAAAGCACATGAGTCCTGCTTGACAGGATTTGAGGCTGAAAGTGTACTGAAGTATGAATTATAGCAATATTATTAATAATTTGCAGTGATAAAATTGCAGTGATACAATAGTCATTCTAAACACATTGCAATATTTTATTCCCAGTTAGCGTTTGAGATAATGGAGCTCACACTCAAAATCTGTGGTCCAACAGTACATCATAAATCAGAGAGCTTTGGGTGTATACCCAGTCCTTTGACCTACTTGCTGGGTGATGCTGTCTTGGTCGAACAGGGAACTTTGAAACTACACCACCAGAGAGCACTGTGCTCTTGCTGCACAGTGTTTCTGACCTTTCCCGGCATGTTTAATGACCTATTTTACTTAGTATTTTTTTCCCTTGCTCCAGTAGAACTCAAATGATTGTTGTGATTATACTGGAAATTGCTAACATTCCCTAACATTGCCCTGTGTGCACCAACAGCCCTTAGTTGCCCTGCCCAGCCTTAGCTGGGACCTTTACCCCACTTGTGGCCCAGAAACCCCATTTAAACTTAGTCCTGGGCCTTGAGCCCTTGTCTGAGTTGTGTTGTAGGGGTGCTGATCTGCACTGTCCTGGGTGGACCTGAGACCTGTGCTGTAGCTAGCCTGTCTCCTAGATGGACTTTGGACCCACAGTGTAGATTGTGTCCACCCCCTATGCCTGATTTATCCTCTCACCATGTATGGGATGATTGATGGACCCAGCACCCAGCTCTGCCTGACACGCTCAGATGTCGTAGGCTTGTGTGCTGGTTGGTGAGGGCACTTGCCTGTGCTGGGCTTGCCTGGGGCAAAGTTAGGAAGGCACTCGTTCATTACTTCCGCAGCTTATTTTTAGCACAGTTTTAAAGAGATCTCAGGGTAGCCCTGGCAGTAGCCTTTTAAAAGAGTATCATAAAGCCAACCTTCTAACTATTCAAACAGAATTAAAATAAAATATATGGTTGCAGGAATTTCTAGACAAGGATGAAAAACTCCTAAATGAAAGGTACTTCAGTGGAAGCTGTCCCAGTAAAGAAGTTGTTTAGAGGATATGTTGATCCAAAGGCACCAGGACAGAAAATTCAAAACCAGTCTTCATGCAGGCTGAGCTAGGGTATGGTAGTGAAACAGCGGTCTTGTATGTTATGTGTCAGGATGCAAATGTTCATGAAACAGAAGGTATTTCATGTAGAAAAATCAAGTTCTTTATTGGTTTTCCTCAGTGCCTGCTTTTCTTCCTGTATGTGTGGCATTGATAAAACTGTTACAAGACATGAAATAAACTTTGATGCTGAGTATTTGCATAAGTAATGCACTGTGGTGAGTGGCAAATTATTTCTGTTGTAGTTAAAGTTTTTTATTCCTTGCTCTCTGACTATGGGCAAATCATCTTACTTGAGTGTGTCTCTGTTCCTTCCAGATCTACTGCCTTCTTGGTCTCTCTGTGTGAAAAAAAAACCCCACACTGAAGCTATCACCTGTTTTATACTCTGCAGAACTGGGGAATCTTAGTTCTGAAATAATTCAATCTGTACATTACACTAACTTGCTGACTTGCTCTTTAATCTCTGATGCTGTTATGATTACCTGTATCATTTCCTCTTGAAGTCGTCACTCTTCACCATCAGTTTTGCCATTTTTATCTTATACACCTTGATGTATACCTGTCTTAGGACTATCCTAATCACCCCAATCTTTCTTCTCATGCTAACAATCAAGTAGTGTGATTGAAACTTTTAAAATAACTAATCCCCAAATTGAACTAGATTATCTTTCAAGTCCCTTCCGAGCCAAACCATTCCATGGTTCTATGATTCAGCAGCATTTTTAAAGACAAAACAAAAGGCTTTTTTTTTCTTCTTGGTGTTTTATTACTTTAATATGTAACAAAACAGATTTATGGCAGAGCAGACAGACAGTATTTAGCATTGCTAAGCAGAAGAACACTTCCTAGTTTTGCCTTTTTATACCCTGGTGAATAAAACGCTCGTTTTCTTCTGTTTCTGGTATGGATTAACACTACAGTGAAGATAAGTTTAGAACCTGTTAGGAACTTGTCTGGACTAAGGGCAAAATAAAGGAAGAGCTGTCAGAACTAGAGTTGCACTTTTCAGCTCCTTACTATCAACTTGCAAATAGGAAGGGCTGAGAAAGAAAGGAAGGCCTTAGAGATGGGGATTTACAGCTCTTCTGTTTCACCACTCCTTGGCACATTTAACTCAGTATGGTACTCAGAGTCTCCTGAAGGCATCCAAGGTATTGGGGTTCTGTTGAAGGAGGGTCTGTTGCTGAAATTTTGATTAAAAATCATGAGAGATTCTGGAAGCAAAGGGCCAATATCAAACTGAGGCACTTTGAAGGTCATCCGTTTGGCTGCTTTCTCAAAACCCCCATAAGGCATGGCAGTCCTGGCATAGTGGAATACATGGAGTTAGCAAACACAGCACAGGTAAACAACTAGTTCAGAAAATAAATAAAGTTATCGAGATTGTAAATTTTATCACTTTTGCAGTTGACTGGCAACAGATCCTTCCCAACATATACATGTCCATTGTCTATGTACTACAAAATATTTAAAAACAGAAGAAGCCCCTCTCTGCTCCTGTATACTTCTTTCATCCCTTTTGCATCAATTTCCATCAAACCATACACCTGTTGGTAGCCTGCACACATAGGAGGCAGAGGCTGAGTTATTGCAGAAGTGACTGGGTTTGTGCTGAATCCTCATGTCCTGAGGCTATGGAAGTGGGTGGCAAAATTATATAGAGAGGCTAACAGAAAATTTTTGCTGCCCTAAAAATATTTGTAAAACTTCCAGTTCTTATCAGAAACAGCAGAAAGATCCTGGTTCTTATCTGAAGTATTGTGAAGTATATGGCTTCTGATCGTAAGTATTTTTCCGGAACTCTTTACCTTTAAATGCCTGCAGTAATAAACAGTTGCAAGCTAAATCTCCCTGGCCAAATGGGGTGAGGAGGAAAGGGAAATAGGATTAAAGTCCTTCTTTCCTGCTGTGTAGGTTTTCTGTCCATAAGCTAAATTAAAATTTCTAGCTCTTAATGTCTCTTCTCTTTGTAGGCCTCCAAATGTTTCATCTGCAGAAGACTGTGCTAAGCATCATGACATGCAACTTAAACATATTTACACTGCACAAGACAGGAAGCTTCTGGCCAGGGTTATTGTGTTTTCTCATGCTAAATAAACTGAATTGAATATCCAAGAAAACTTACCGGTTAAAAGACTTGTAATGGGGGAAATCGGCTTTGGGGCTATATGACAATAAGTCAATAGTCAACTGACTTTTGTCCTCAGGGCTGATACCCATTGCTCGTTCCCAAGGGGAGATGTAAGTTTTAAATATAGTGATTTTTTTGCCTCCTGGCTTTGCATCTGTAAACAGAGGAAGGTAAAACGTCTAGTTAGATTACACTTTAAATACACTGCCTTTCCGTATTCTGATACTGAAGTTGAGACACTAGCTTTCTTTGCAGATTTTGTAACTCCTGGATCAAGTATGAGATTTAATAGTTAGATTTCTCATAAAAAAAACACTCTCATATTCCACTTCCATCCCTATCCACAAAAGCAGGTGTACCACAATCTAAGAGCCACTCGTCCAGGAATTTGTGTTACAGCATGTAGTTGAAAGCTAATTTTTCAATGTTCTCTCTGGTTGCTCAAATTGAAACCTCTTATCTCAAGAACCAATATCCTATCCCATCATCTCTCACTAACTCAGGGGAAGCTTTATATAAGGCAAAATGCTATCTAACTTCATAATTTACTTCTCCCTCACTCCCCTGTCTGATCATAGCAAACATAAATGTAAATATCATCATCAACATCATTATTGGCAACAAACAAAGCCCTGACTATAAACTCCAAAACTAGGTTCAAATTTTGAAGTTGGCCCTCACTGACCAAAAACCTTTAACCATCCTATTTCAGGGTCTTGGCAGCTCACAACCAACTTTACTAATGTCTTCCTTAGTAGTCTGTTCTTTAATGTTCTGAAATTAACATCTGCCTTATCTCAGTATTTTTATAGGTTAGCATTTTCTTTGTGATTGCATGGACAGGCATTCATTTTCTCACCCTCCTAAGCTAGGATGTTAGAGACAAGCCTGGTTTAAACACCTCAGGATGGTTAAAAGCAGTTTGGAAAGATGAAGTTAAAATCCTGTAAATGACAAAGCTGGACTTTACTGTTAATTCAGATGCTTGATTGCCAGAAAGTTTATATATATATTATTTTTTTTAGTAATAACAATCTTCTACCAAGACCATTGGTTGTGTATTGACATGTAGCACACTTTTAAGATTCTCAGCCTTCAGAAACTTTGAAACTCATGAGCAGTGACTTCCACTTAGCTTGCTTAGGGCAGATATTAATAATTATGTAAGGGAGTTAGACTTTCTGGTGCTTTCATGGTGCTATAGTTTCTGTAGGAAACATAAATCCTTATTAAGTAATTGACAAAGAATAAACACTGTTACACTTGTCTGAAACTTTATTCTTTATCACACTTTCTTTGTCTTGCTTATTTTCTACAAACGGGGCCAAGTCCTGGGCTTCCCTGGCTTCAGAGAATTGCAGCCATGCACAAGAATCACAGTTGCATTAAAAACAAACTGCTTCCCTCTTTCTGTGTGAAGGACTTAAACTAAGTTCAGAAGTAAATTGATTGCTCGTGTTGAAAAAGAAAAACAGTTAGGATCCATCTCTGCAGCGAAAGCTATGAGATGATGTTAATTCTCCTTCCTGCACACAGAAATAGTATAACCATGAAGAAAAATCTCTTCTAAGAGTCTACATAGATTCTTTTTTCACAGGGATGTCCAGAAATGTAAAAGCTGATTTTGATTTAAAATTTGCATTCTTTCAGATGTAAATGAAAAACCTTGGATTTTACAAGTCACTCATACGGTCACTTGTGACAGTGGTTCCAGGTTCCCAAGCAAATTTGCTGTTTGTTGTAAAATCCTATAGGGACTGTTAAAATAATGATTTAACCTGCTGATTTTCTTGCAAGGAATTTGGTTCTAGAGCTTTCTGGCCAAACTAAACAGAGGATAAATTAAGCAAGGATTATATTAAATAAAAAATACTTTTACTCATAAAGATACTGCTTCAGTGGTACAATGGTGATTACCACATAACTTTTAGAAATATTGCTGTTCCTTTCTGAAGATTATAAAAAAAAGGCTGTTTGCCTAGGTGAAACTTTGATTTGAAGTCAGGGGTCATGTACTTGAAACTTCTGTGTCAGGTTGGATTCCTGAGCTAAAGAGCTAACACTACTGTCTCCAGTAGAACTCAGTTTGAAACCCTTGAAAGGAAGGGGTATGCCACAGTGGCATACTGCTGTATCAACTTTAGGAGAACAGTAATCAAGTTTCCCAGTGTTTTTTTGTCCAGCCAAGGCAGGTATTTCTGCTTCTTGCTTATGATTGAGCAACACAAGAAGCCTGCAAACAAAACTATCAAGCTAAAGGCAGTTCAGCTTTTCTAGACTTTGGAATCAAACGTAGTTTGGAAGAATTCAGGTCTTAGTTAAATTAATTTACTTGTCCTTAAGAGTCAGATTGGCATGAATTTTGATAGCTTAAGCTATTTCTTATTCTTGCAGAGACACTTGCCTTTCTCAGTACCATCACCTCCTTCTCCACCAGTTCCAGCTGATTCCCCGACATGTTGCCCTTCATTGTCCCCAGGGCCACTTTTGCTTCCAGGCCCATGAGGACCAGCAGAATGCTGCTGCATACCGGAGCCATGCTGTCCAGCTGTCACTCCTCCTACCATCCGCCCATGGGCATAGCCATGAGCATCTTCCCCGTAATGCCCTCCTGGTGGGATGAACTTCTGAAAGTGATCCTAGTGCAGGAGAAAAGAGAGTAGGGATCCTTGTTACAGGACATGGTCCATTCACATTTGCATGGCTGGAACAGTGCAGAATGTGAACTCCCAAGTCCCTGTGATCTGACTAGTTTTCTGTCTCAGTTATAGAACCATTGGCAGAATTTCTTCTGAGTTATTCTGTACATTCAGTATAGAAGCAGTTGTAGAACAGCAGCAAGGGCAATGGAAGCACACCTTCTAATGGACACCTTCTAGTCATTTTATATGGACATGGTGACAAAAGAGGGATCTGTGTATTGACTCCAGTAGTGATCAGTATGAAATGCAAGAGAAAGGGAAAGGAAATACGGCTTTTGCCAAAGCAGGTGAAGGTGCAGATAGATATATTGGATAACCTGTGGGAAAGCAAGCTGAACAAGAAATAGGAAGTGTTCTCATGTCAAGGTTAAGATAGTCCAGGAAAGTCAGTTTGATTACAGTGTGGGACCTACATGTTACAGAGCACCAGAACAACAGGGTACCTGTGACAACATAAAAGCCTGGAAGGTAACTGCTCATATGTCTGTTTTCCATATATAGGAAAGTCTGCATGGGGAGGAGTATTACACACCAAGGAAGACTGAAGAGGTAACAGCCTGGGAAAAAATGAAAGACTTACTGGAGACCACACAAGGAAAATGACAAAAAGGAAGTGTTTTGTTTGTAGCAATATGTAGATAAACAAACAAAATCTAACCAGCAACAAGACAAGAAAGAAAGCTGTACTCATCAGTAAAATCAAGTTGATCTTATTTTCCAGGCCACCTACTCTTTACAGTTCAAGCTAGAAGGCAAAATCCCTGCAGTATGTATTGAAAGAGCAAGTAGTCTGTGTAGGATTAATAGTCCCTATGGTGCCAGCACCAGGTCCTTGTCTTTGCACACCACAATTTTAATAAATGCTTGTGTGGAATAGAAACCAATATAATAAGTTCAGAAAAATGTTTTATGTATTCACTAGTCATGAGATCAAAGCTTGACTCCTATCAGATATAAATTCATATCTCTTGTGTATTACAGCCCACACAGCTGTATAATTCAAGTAACCTAGGTTATGTATCACATATGGTCTTTCCTGTTGGACTAGAAGATTGGCTGTAGATGTGCAAAGATGTAATAAATATTGCTGAAGCTGAATGATTGAATCTGTGGTTCTTCATGCTGCAATTCTGCTTGGATAAATTCATCTCAGGTAGTCAGTGGCTCTCAAAGGGTTAAGGCTTTCTCAGTGCTCTTACACCTAGTGCAGTTTAGCAAAAATAAGCTTTCCAGGCTGTAAACAGGCTTCCAAGGCCAGCTGTTCTATCAGCTAAAAATAGATGAGAAGTGAAAACCCCACAAGGCTCAAGGCAGAATTATCTAACCCTCTGCTCCCTGTGTCTCCAGCAACAGTGTCCAGGGTTTCACAGCAGATCACCAGGCTGCAACCCAGGCAGGCAGCCAGCTGCAGGCTGAAGTGGCAGAGCTGGTATCCCCAGGGCCTTTAGGGACTGTCTGACCTTCTCCTGGCTGTAGGGAATTCCCTTTTTAGGAACAGCGGAGATAATGTTCCCCTGAATGTCTGGAAGCAGTGAGAGGGGAGAGCATTGTGAGCATTAAGCTGTACACAGGAGCTAGCAGGGCAATCTGTTCAATTATGTGTGAGAGCTATATAGCTGTAAAAAAGCAAACTGAAAACGGTATTTTGAGGGCTTGGGATCAGAATGAGGTTATTCTCAAAACATTTATATACATGCAAGGTTAATGCTTCTACTGATTTGCTCAGAAATTTCAAAACAGGAGTTGCATCTGTTTTCCTTCAAGTTTCACCCAAGTTTTGTGCCTTCCTGAGAATTAAATGCTTATTTCTCTTTTGCTCTGGTTATTTACATGCACTTTTTTTGAAAAAAAAAAAGTCATAAAACATCAGTGTAACATGAGCTACAGTAAAAAGGGCTGGTTTGATTTTTGTGCACAGCAATATTCAATGTGACTAGGAAGGGGCATCATCACCATCTGGCCTTATTTTAAATTGCAGTATTATCACTAAGCAGGAGCGAAGTTTCTCGGAAACATAAGGTCTGTCTCAGGAAAGCCACACCTAAATCTTACTTAGCTGCAAATGAAATTAGTTTGTTATTTTTTATGGACCCACTGGGAAAACATCCTATGTTCACCAGACATCTCCATTCAGATAGGTAAGACCCATTTTCCATGCATTACCCCAGTCTACTCATCTACCAGAACAAACTATGATTTTCTTTAGTTTTGACCATCACAATAGATTGCATTAGCTCAAATTAACTGGATAATCTTTTTCTATAACAGAAGGCAAAGGCAAATTTATCTTTTGAAATCTTGAACCTCAGTGGATTCAAACAAACTCATTTCAAGGGAGTGAAGCTCAGGAACAGCAGCCTCAATCATGAGTTTCAGTGTAGTCAAAGCTGAGCAGGTGCAGTTTTTTTTCTGGTAGTTAGAGCATGCCTCTGGCCAGTGTGTTCAAAGTGAAATACAGCCTACACTTGAGAAGAATGTATATCTTAGGTCATTGCTAACAGGTTGTGGAGCTTTTATGTATATGCATATTCACAGGACAAAACTGACCCCTTGGATAGAGTTGATTGACCTTGCTTGTGGAAGTCCCAGGAGAGAAGCCCAGGAGGGAGTGTCAATTGAGAAGGCTGATAACCCTCTCCTGTTGGCTCTGGGGGCAGATCACACAGTCCCTCCACAGTAGGATCTGCCCTGTCCATGCACTCTTGGAGGTAGTCCCTGAGTGTCCTTAAATCCACTCTAACAAGAGAACTATTGTGGCAAGTTCATGTGATGTGTAGTCCCATGGGTTGGGTAAACAAATTTGACTCATGTCTTTGAAGTCCTTAGTGCTAGCAAGAGCCTGATCCTGCAGGGTGGGTGCCTAGATGGATGAATTCTGTATTCTCTGGAACTACTGCATGTGTCTCAAAAAAAAAAAGATAATGAAAGATGATACAACTAATAGAGCTGAGATCTCCAGGTATCTTAAGGCCTTGACGTCACTGCAGGCAGCGCCTGGGAGAAGACACTGTGTGCTCCCCGTCAGCTCCTTGCTGTGCCCTAAGGAGAATGATTGAGGCCACCAAATGTGTTTCTATTTCCACCTCACTGGTAAAGAGCTTCCCAAAGGTTTGATGCCTTAGTGGTTACTAACACTTCTGAAGTTACTGTGACTGCGTCCTCTCAGTGGCAGCCAGTCAAATGCTCCTTAGTGGTGGGATGGGAGATTTAAAATTCAGACACTTGAAGAGTCTCATAGACTGTCTGCTGTTTTTATCAAAGTGTGTGCCTTGGTCCTTAATTTTGAGTTGCATGGCCTTAAACCTATGATTCACTTAAGAAAAAAAAGGATGAAAGTAAAAACTAACCTCAGCTGTTGAAGTATCTTAAGCTATCTTTTTAAAACGTGCTGTACCAAGAAGCACAGTTCAGTGGGCTGAGTTCCTGCTTTGTATTTCCAGGTCTTAGGCAAATTATTTTTTTACTCTATATCTGAATTTACTCATCTAAATAATGAGAATTTTTATCTAATACTACCTAAAATATTTATAAATTATTATGTCTATTATAACATCCTTGCTACATCTTAAGAAACTCACTTTCAGAATTTCTGTCTGCAGTTTTCCAGTGCTCCAACAAACCACTGTGGAAAATAAAAGGCTCTCTGTAATTCTGATGTTTCCAAACTAGTCACTTCTTGAGTAGGAAGGCAGAGCCAGGAGCAAGAAAGGAAAGGAACAGAAACTAATCAAATTGCAATCAAAAGAGCTTTTTGATTAAAGTTATTTGGTACTAAGGTCAGGTACTGTCTGGATGATTTGGAAGGTAACAGCAAGGCCACAGATCTGTTGCCCTTACCTGCCCAAGAACAACCAGCTCCCTGAGAGGATGCCTCAGTTGCTGTGATTACTCAGCTTTTCTTCTCAGTGCTCTGACTGCCAGCAAAGGTGCTAACTCAAGCTGGCTGTGGCATTGAGAATAGCTATCCATAGAGACAGTGGATGCAGCCTAGCAAAGTCCTTGCACAGAGCGCATAGGGCAGCCAGCAAATGGTAACAATTGTATTTGTGATCCTACAAAGCTGGAACCGAGCAAGGGCTGTAGGGCAGACTGAAGTCTTTCTGCACTGACCAATGGAGATTTATCTGTACCATAAATGTGGAGAAAAGGTAGCCCTGAAGATGAAACATGGAGCATTTTAAAGCAGAGTACCAGCTGCTGTTCGGAGGCCATGCCATTCATTTCATATAGCAAAGGCATAAAGAAAATCTTAAGCTTATTAGGGTCTTGTCTAACCCCCAAGTAGATTTCTCCACAGGAGATCTTACAGTCTTGCTTGAAGAGCTTAGGAGCAGGGGTGTTCTTACAGAATAGAGGGAGAGATTCGCTACAGGAAGGGTATGGAGTGAAAGTCAGGCACAGATGAATAAACAAGGTAGGAATAACAGCTAACAAAAAAGCTATTGTCATCAGCCTTTGTAATGTCAGTCTTGGAAGGACTCTGTCCCCTCTGCATGTCCAGTTTTGAGTCATTTTGTCACATCTAATTAACTTTGTATTTCTCTGTTTGGGCACCCTTAAGTGACACCCTCACATTTTTGAAAGTTTGGACTTTTTATTTCCTCACCTTTTTATTTTCTGCTCTTCCTTACTGCAGCAGATTCTGACATATGAACTTGACCCTCCTCTGTCTTAGGAGCTCTGCAATTACTGAGCATTTATAAAAACAGCTTGCATTTCTCTAGGATTTTCATCTAAAGAGTCCAAACACACCATTCATTCTCACATGCTTTATAAGTGATAGCTCACTGAAGAGATTAACCACCTAAAGCACAAAGAGATGAAGAAACTCCCGAAGCCTAACAACATCAGATATATTTGCTATATCTTTGGTCTGTCATCCCTGATCTATAATCTGACCTACTCTTGTAATTTTAATGACTTTTTTTTCAGGTATCCTGCCTCCCAAATTGTTATTTTTAGAAGTGAACTACAAATATTTACTTATTGCTGCCTTTTAAAACATCAGAGGGCTAAGAAATAGTGTGGTTTTGTGTGACAGAACATCTTCTTCATGTTCATCTTTATTTTGCTTGAGTTTCCTTGGACTGGAAAATAGATGCCATAAAGGGATCAAATACATTTTTAAGAACATCAGAATACAAGCTGCTACATCAAAATGCTTATGGACCTGAAATATTTTGTATTTGTTTTACTGAACAGATTAAAATCATGTGAAAGGGAAGTTTAATTTGTGAAAGTTTAAGTATCTTCAGAAGACTTTATACCACCAATTAACTGCAGAGAGAGAAGATCAAATAACAGTAGTAACTCACAGAAAAAAAAAAAAAAAAGAAAAAAGAAAAAAAAAGTCTGAATTTATACAACATATCTGATAGGAAAATATTTTAGAAGAAAACAAACATAGCTTTCAGGAAAAAAAAATAAAAATTAAGATACTGGTTAGAGATTTCTGTCTGAATTTTCATTTATGAAGCTTCTTGCAGAAATGACCAAAGGACTCTGCCCAGCAGGAAATATAAAAGTGTATGCTAGGCTAAAAATAGAACCACACCTACTGAAGCTGAAGTCAGATCTGGATGCATCATTTCTGTCTTGCAAAGAAGTGGAATGGGTACAAAACCAACTAGTCCTGCCCTTCACAGCTCTGGACACCTGCAGACTTCCTTTGTCACTCATTACTGAATTTTTTCACACTTCTGTATATGTAATACCAAGTATTTGCCAAAGGCAACTAATGCTGCTGCCTAAAGGGAATAAAACTTTTGTGTTTATATAATCTGGGGTTCTTTTTGCACTTCTTTGCTGGTAGATCCCCCATGTGCCCAGCCCATGCACATACAGACAGAGGAGAATTGGGCACATTCCATTCCTGTTTCCCCTGGGTATATGGAGCTGCTTTTTAGTTTTAGTCTTTGACCTACCATAGAATTGTCGGTGAAGGCATCAGGGTTATTCTCATAAATGAACTTCTCCACCCTCAGCTGACGTAATTTGAACATCTTGGATCCTTTGTTATTGAGGAGAGAAAGTTCTTCTAACATCACATCTCTGGGGATGCTGATCTTCTTCCCCAAGTTCAGCTTGGATACCTCTTGTGGCATGACTACAAAAGATGTGAAATGAGATGCTTTAGGAAGTGATCCGGTCCAAGTCTCTTGACCATTGCTTCCCAGGGTCAGTGGGCAGCTTCAAGGCAGCTGAATTCTCTTCTAAATTTAGTTTTTAGGAAGCAACTTATGCACCAAATTTTTATATTGATGACACTTAGGATTTAGATGGGCACAATCTACTCTGGATTGCAGTCAGGGCAAATCTGCACAGAAAAGTGTTTCACAAGCATGAAGCTAGGTGCATGTGTCCCACAACTGAAGAATCTCAGTCAGAGCAGCAGGATTCCTTAGCCTCAAAAGGCCTTGTCTGGTCACTGCCCTACACTCATCTCCCCTTCTCTGGAATTAGATGAGTGGCAGTCAGCTCTTCAGATTGGGCTGACATACAATAAATAAAGACAATGGTGTGCTTTGGTTTAAACATTATCTTGAAACTATGGCAAGATTCAATGTTGTTATATCTTTTTATTTATCTTAAGGAGAACGTTTAAAGGGAAAAGTAGTTGAAGTTCTCTACAGGTCTTAACACACTGATTACTTCATAAGTCCTTTTCAATTTAATTTGGTGCAACCAACTCTCCATCAAAGCAATGGATTCAGACATTTTCAGTGTAAAAATCTTGCAGAAAGAAAGTTGAAGCTTTTCATTCAGAAACATGCAACTTTTCCTAAGCTTTCTCTTTTCTGTATTAAACAAGGTTAAGATCACCTACTCCAACTCTGCATCTCATTTACAGCGGAGACTGAATCTCCATCCTTAAACTGGTATAAGTTTATAACTGGTGTAAATTCATTCATTTTCTTAGCCATTCTCTTAAAAAAATGTTATTTTTTTAGCAAGCCAGTTTATATAGCATTATTTCATAGCGCAAGAGAAATGCCATCTAACTGCTAATGGGATTTTTACTTACTTGAATAAAGGATTGGGGACAAACAGAAAAATATATACCTATACCCTAGAAAAGAAGTTTCTACAGCCCTTTTGGGGGACTGAAGGAAGGGACAGCACTGAATTATTACTTTTCAAAACCTCCAAAAGCCTTTCCCATGCTGTCAAAAACAAAGTAAGGATATCACAGTTAATTAAAAGTCACCCTACCCAGAACACAGATAATCTGTAGAAATAAAAGTGTCCCAAGTTATATTCTTCTTGCTGTATTATTCCCTCTAAGAGACTTTGACTTTTTCAAATATGAGTGCTGGAATAAAATTAATTCTCTCACATACAGGAAAAATTGTAATTGTTAAATTACAGACAAATATTAGAGACAAAGGTTATAAGAGAGAGAATAACAGATTATCACTAGGCACTGCAATATTGATACCCTTAAAATACCATGTTCTCTTTCCATTCAAATTGGTGTGTATCCAAATTAATGCTGCAGGAGAACATGGGTTTACAAAGTGTAATCTAGGTCAACCTTTGACCTGAGTGTGTGTGCAATGCTTTTGAACAGTAAATTAGAAACTGTGATGTGGTTGAAAGCTGAGCTTTAATAATATTTGTGGCTCTGTCTCCTGCTGTGTCCCCTGCAGGTCTTGTTCTGGGAGTTCAATCAGACAGGGTGTGAAATTTTAAAGGCTGAAATTTAGGTTGAAATCCAAACAATTCTCATGTGTGCAGTTTTGCATATCTTACCTTCTTGTGTCAGCTTCCCAATGAGTTTAGTGGACTTTTTCCTTTTAACAGGAGCAGGAGTCCCTGCAAGGGGCATTCCCACAAAGAGTTCTCTGCTTTGCTCTAAACACACAAGGAAATAGAGAATGAAATACTGGAAAGGTATTTCTTGCCTCTCTTTTAGCTGCTATCTACAGTTTTCTATCCATTCCACATGAAGGAGCTAGTGACTGGTATCATTCCATACAGGGTATCATCAGCAGGCCATTGTGGTGTTCTCTGGATACAGAGCATTATGACACAAAGTACAGCAGCAGATCACAGCAGAAGCACTACCAAGGTCCCATATAGCATCTAAAACAGGCAACATGGCAGTCTTCTGACACCTGTGTGTGCCACAGTTGTACTCTGCTATCCCCTTGTGCTGCAGCAACAGAATTTCAGTTTGAAAATTTGCTCTATCATACCATATTACAAGATCATGCAGTAATCAATGGATGGTAATAAATATTTTTGTATCAAGATTTTGAGGAGGGAGGGGAAGAGGGAGATTTCTTCTGGTACAGGGTTTTCCATCTCTGTCCCCAGACAGGATGAGAGAGCTGTACTGCAAAGTCAGAGAAAATTAGGAGAAATCTCAGTAATTCTGCTTCAGGCAACTTCTCAGAGTCCTTCTTGGGGGTTATAATACATAATGTAACTAGGGAAAATGTCTTGCCTCCACTTCAACGCTGTCCATGCCCAAACAACAGCATATAAGGGGACAGATCTTCACCTAATACAGTACAATGCAAATAAAAAATAACAAAGATCCATTGGCTTCAGCAATATCAATAATTAACCATCTCTGTCCTTGTGCTTCTTTGCACTTTAGTTTCTTAAAATTTCAGAACTGAAGACATTGAACTATGAATTATATTTTAAAACTAGTAAGCAAACGGCTGGCTCTAGGAGTTTGAACACTGCCATTGTGATAAAGACATTATCTCCTATATATTTTGCAGTTTCATTCCATCATTGCTTCTTTTGCAACATGACTTTCATGTGATGAGGTGATGATGACTGTTAAAAGAAGATCAGCCACAGCAAACCAGCTCAAATCACTTTGGCAGATACTCTCTTGGATTAGTTTTTCTTTCAGATTTCTAAGCTTTTCTTTTTACTGAGGTGCTGCCTATGTAGTTCACATCATAAAAGAGCCCACCCTGGTATATTCCCAAAGCAAGCATCAGCAGGTGCAGTCGTAAAGTACGTGCTGCAAATTCTGCTTGAGCAGATGGACATCTGTTTGGCTATGTAAAAGAAGCAGGCCCTGATTGACAGAAAAGGGGCAATGGTGCCAGAAGGCAGGGGGAGTGCGAGGTTATGGCCCATGTGATGGGTCGTAAGACTGGCAAAACAGGGGGAAATCATCAGTATGCCCCAAGCATGGACTCCCTGGAGCAAGGCAGAAAGGGCTGGCCCTTGTGGAGAACTATGCTCTTCAAGCACACCCATTCCCAAGAAGCTGCAAAGGCAAGTCCCATTCTGCTGTCCTGTATTAATCCAGCAGGACTGGGGAGTGGAAAACCTGCTGCATGCAATTGGGCTGGCTTAAAGAAAAGGGCAGCAGTCTTTCACGATGGCAGAGATACACTGGGCTACTGCTCTTTCAGCCACCCCACCATAGGGAGGCTGCTGGAGCCTCAGTCTCCTTGTCCTCACTAGCCTGTACATAAAGCCAGGACCATGACTATCTTTCTCTCCCCTGAGCTCTATCCCTTGGTTTAACTCCTCTGCCTTTATCTGCCTCAGTCTTTGCAGTGGTCATTTCCTTGGTTTTGCTGCAAACCAAATCATCCTTACCCTCTCCAGCACCTGCTCTAAAGTATTTTGCTGCCCAGTCAACTCACCTCAGGCTTGCAGTGCCAAACTCAGTCCAGTTCATGTGCCTGACCCAGAGCTCAGCAGTGGGCTGCTTCCTCCCAGCTCGTCTCTGGGTGCTGCTGGTGAGGGTTGTCCAGCATGCCCCACTCACCCAGGCTGCCTAGGTGCAGGGGAAGCTCTGCCCAGCACAAAGTGCTGATGCGAAGTGCTGTGAATTTGACTCCTGAAGGCTGCTCACACAGGCATCCAGCAGTTATTAATAGCCAGTGGCCCAGAGGGCAGGGTCTCAGATAGCACCACTGCCAGTCTGGAGGAGAGGAGAAAGGAAAAGTTTGCTCCTCAGGCCTCCTGTAGTCACCGTCTCAGTTCCCAGGAAGATCAAGCACTCCATAGGTGCCTCAATTCTTCCTTCTCTCTGTTCAACATGACCTTCCTCTTCCTCCTCCTATTACATTTTAATGCAATTCATAAAACCTTCTCAATATCCTGCTTGTCAGTAATACCTCAAAAGCTCTCTTGGGTCTTTCTGTTTTACACTCTCCTTCTGCTCCCTCCTCACTCCATCATTCACCCCAGTGTTCCCTAGGCTCTCACACATAATTCCTAAAATGCAAGGCATTCAAATGATATATCAGAGAACACAGAAGAAAAATAATTGCACACATGAAGCAAGAAGTAGTAAGAAAACTACAAAGTCTAGAAAGCTATTTACAGAGTTCTAGAAAGTAGCTGTGAAATATGTATGGCAAACCTAGCAGATTCAAACAGCAAGGAAATGAATTTCCTGATTCATGACAGAAATAAGGTTGCAGCTTTGTAGAAATTTGCAGAAATTTGGTGCAGCTTTGTATCTGCAGATGACTCCTCTTCTTTAGCTTCTGTTCATTTCCCCATACCCTATTGAGTTCTGGTTCTAGGATGAAGGGAACATATCTCATTTTACTGAATAACTTGAAGATGCATGTACCTTTCAGCTTCTATGTAAACCAGAAATCCTACAGAAAACATTGTCTTTGTATTTCACATTGGATCAAAATCAGGTTGTCCACTGAGTCTAGAGGGGGGAAGAAAACTCAAAACACAGCTGAGACTGTAGTAGAAAACAATCTGCACAGAGAATTGCAAGAAAGTTTGATGTAAAGGAGCATTGGGAGATAGTAACTTTTCCTTTTACCTAGATTTTGCAGCTGGTTTTGCTTGCACCAAATGCATATCAAACTTCCCAGTGTGATAAGTGGATTGAAAGTACAAAGCTTGAACACCCCAGTTCTATTTAAAAGATCCTGTGTAAGAGTGCTATAACGTAGCTATGGACAATAATCAGCCTTTATACCCTGCTTGGAGTCAGGGCATGTATGGCAATCTCCTGACCTAAAGTTTCCCATTTTCCTCTCATTTCCCATTTTCTTCTCGCTTGCATCCATATAACCACTATGTATACCTTACATTGTGCCTACAGCACCACTCTTATTCTCCCTCATTCATGTCTATTATAGCACCACACCGTAAGCTTTCCACTGTGCTGTGTCCTTCACTGAGCCCAGCAGATGCACCAGAATGATTTGTGGGGGCCAGATGGTCCAGATCTTGCCCCCACACTCCCATGCCAGTGATCTGGGAGTAACTTCCCAGAGCTGTGCCAGTGTAAAACAGGTGTAGAGGGTAGCACAATTAACTGTAAACACCCGCTGTCTGCTCTGGGCACAGAGCTTCACGCCTGGTGAAGGCATTTACATCTGCACAAAGTTGGAGGCTGTCAAATGCTACTGTCACAGCTGAGCATCCATCCACACTTCACACCCACTCTGAACAAGTGCAGGTGGCCACAGAGGAGCAAGTCTCTTGGTGTTGGCCAAACCCTGCTCACTGTAGGTTGTACAGAGAGGAGTATTTTTTCACCATATTTCTTTCCCTTGGACTGGTTTAACATGTCCAAAGGCATGAGATACAGTTATTTCCTAATTTTAGGAAGTTTCTAGCTCTGTTTTGATAATAGCTCAGAAATTAATGTGATTTATATTATGGGTTAGAAGCTGAGAAATGCAGCTACCATTTTTATGGAACCTCCTTGCAGTCACTGGAGAGCTGCTAAACTCTGCCTTCTCTCTACTTGATTCCAGCAGCTGTTTTCAGACCAATTTATAGCTGGTCTATTATTTCTCCAGTCATCTCCTATGCCTTCCCGATCACAAATTACATGTTAGGGGAACAGTTTGTGCCAGATGGATATCATATGGAAACCTGCTGGATTTTGAGGCATGGTGTAGCTCCAAAAGATGATGTAGCAGACAAGTATGTAGTTACTGTTCTGTGCCATGAGCATGCTTCCACCTACCCCAGGGGTCCACAACTGCTCCTGCAGGCAGCTGCAGGAAGAGAGGAATCAAGCAGGCTGGAATGGAGGAGAATGCCCCATGGCACATGGTAATTGGAGGTGAGCAGGAAATGAATGTGATCCCTCTTATAAAGCTCAAGAGAAACTAGGGAAAACAATAGCAAGGAGATGAAGAGAAGGAATATTGTAGCATGGTGTGTGAGGATCTTAATCAGGAAATGGGCAGGTGTGTCCCACAGTTAGGACCAGGAACAAGGCACTGTCAGCAATTCAGGGTGAGCCAGCTCCAAGAGATAAGTCTGCTCTGTGGGTCTCCAACCCAAATGGAAAGAGGCAAGCAGGGTTAGGGGCAAGGCCAAGGACCTTGGAAGTTCTGCTTCAAGGACTGATGGGAACTGTGGTTTGATGAAAACAAAGCATTTGTACACTAAGGCAGGTTGTTGTGTGAGAAGTAGGCAAGGTGGTGAGGAACTTGAAACGAGACAAGTTGAGCAGGCATATGAAGGAAAGTAAGCTAGGAGTAGAGAGTACAGGGCAGAATCTTTATCCAGGGCTCAGAAATAGTATCTGAAAGTTGAAATGATCTAATAGGGAGATACCTTTATTCCTAGATGCTGATATTTATTTATTGCTATTTAGGTTCCTAGGCCAATCATTGGACTCCTCAGAAACTCCAGAAGCAAAATCTGAGGTATAGACCAGCTTCTTGGCCAATTTTTTCAGTTCTGTTGTGCCTGTGGCTATCATCAGACTCAAATTCTGAAGAAACCTTGGCTACCTACACTTTTAAAGATTATCCATAGCTGTCATTCAGTGCTATGTGAAGTCCCATTCTGTCCTTGAAACCCTAATAATCCAGAGGTTATTTTCATCTGGATGTGCATATATACATACACGAAGTGAGGCACAGGACTTAAGAGTACAGCTGGAGTGTAGTGCATAGAATCTGAGCCTTGAACCCTGAATGAATGTAAGAGAGGGTTTATCCCATTAGTATGGCACTGGGATTTATAAGGTGATTTAGATAAAGCTGTCTTGCATCTGACACTTAGGCACCAAGGCACATCTTCAACTGAGATTCTCATGTCCTACTCTACCTTCAAATAAAATTATTTGTCTCCATTGTCAGTTACCAGGCTGGGAACTAAATCCTGATCCTTTCTCCTCTCTATGCACAGTTTCTCCTGAGAGATAGAAACTTCTTGTTCACTAGTCTAGAAATGTCAATGAGGAGTCTAGCAGAGACTTCACTTGTGCCCTGCTATGGTGTCAGGTTCAGTAGCTCAGTGGCTTTTTCCACTGGGAATATTGTCCCAATCTGGTATCTCTGCTGTACGTAATATGATGAAATCAGCAAAGATAAGAAGTTATGTAGGGCTGTTACTATTATCTTACCCACTCATGCTACTCAGTTCTTAAGGGTTTAAATCATTACAAGCCTTGCTTGATGAGCAGTTTTGCTTTTGGGTTGGAGGGCGGGGCAGGGATTTATCTGGAGCGTGGTGAGGTTTGGTGGCTACATGAGGTTTCTTGACTACATGGAGTTTTCGCTTAGGTAATCAAGGGAGTACCTGCAGGACATTTCAGCACTTGAGGAAAGGAGTTTTTAATCATACAAGGAGCTGTATCTCACTGTCACCACCTCCCTCTTTGTACATACATACCCCTTGCTTAAGTGGCCTTCAAAACAGCCTGCACAAACTTTTGCTTTCTCTGACTTACATCTTGAAAATTAGTTTAGTTTTGCACTGAATTCTTGCACATCTCATTTCAAATGGTCTAACTTCAAATCATTGATATCTGCAAAATCATTTCAAAAACAGTAGATGAGATCTGCCTTGTTGCAGATGGACATAAGCAGTAAGTAAAACAGCTGTCAGCAGTAGGGCTGTCTCCTGAGCTCATTTTGATCCTGTAGAAGTCTGGCAAACAGCATTGGTCTGGTAAATAGCCTTCACCATTTTAATTTTCCAAAGATAGAGAGTGGAACCTTGACCCTGCTCCCCCTTTTTCCTGGAGTGCAGGACTTCCCTGTATTGAAAGTATTCATAAGCAGTGGATTTCAGCATGATTTAATCTTCTCTGAAAAAAGTTGCAGAACTCTCAATTCAGGGTTTGGTTGTTTGGGGATTTTTTTGGGGGGTGGTTGATTTTTGTTTTGAAATACATCATAGATAACATTTTTTATATTAAAATTTTTCATACACATGTAATCTCTTCCACTTCCATATGGCTATCAGGAAGACTTGCCAGTAGTTTGTAGCACCAAAATAGGAGAAACAGTTAATGCCAGGCTCCCTCCTGCCCCTAAGTGGGCTTGATGTACAATGAGGTGTAGGACTGGGAAAGAAATACATAGAATTTGATCACAGAACTGAAGCGTGTGTTGAAATAGCTGGCATGCCCATGGTGTGTTACTTGCTGAGAAGCCTGTTTGCTTGCATGCCCCACATGCTACTATCCAGGACTCCCCTCTGAGCTGCAGCAAGCCTCACTGCCAAAACTCCCTGGTATGGGGCTGGCCTTCTCCCCTGGTATGTGGAACTAAGCAACACCATATGTGAACGCCAAAAGAGGGTAGATTAGGAAGAAAGGATTTCCTAAGATTTTAAACCCTCCAGACAACACCACTTCAGTCAAATGCCAGAACCCAAGTCACTCGGAGAACAGTGGCGACATCTAGTGGTCGTTGAAGCTATAGGCCTGTACTTCTTGGGAATACCCTTACTCTTCCTACATGCCACATATTTGCTCTTTGCCAGACACTTCTTCCATTGGAAATAATTGTTTGTGGGTAGA